GCCGGTGCTGGGTGCCGTTGCTGGGTGCTGGGTGTGCGCGTGGTGGAGACAGGGTGCCGGTGCCGGGTGCTGGTTGCTGGTGCAGTGAGCTGGCTGTGCGTGGTGGAGACAGGGTGCCGGGTGCTGGCTGTGCGCGTGGTGGAGACTGGGTGCTGGTGGTGCTGTGAGCTTGCGTGCCGGTGCTGGGTGCTGGTGCTGGCCGTGCGCGTGGCGGACACAGGGTGCCGGATTGCTTCAATTTTCATATGAAAGTATATATACGTGCACTAAAAAGACGCATTGTTTTAAACAAACTCGTTTGTGTATTATATATATACACCCACACACACACTTGAAAGAACATCCGAAGCTAAGTTTGTCTCTAGCAAACCTCTTGTATTGCAACCAGCCTGAACTGGTTTTGGTGCTCAAACACTCATGTGGTCATGTGCAATGCTTTCGGTTTTTGGCCCTGTGGCAGACCTTCAACACCTGATTTGGAGGATTGCTCCTCCGCTTCTGAGGCGCGCCAAAAAGAGCAGTGAAACCGAAGTGTGGACAAACAGGCTCAAACAGTTGTACCTCCTTCCAACATTTGGAGGATCTTACCCATCACATGTCAGCCGAATTTAGATTTGTCCTGTCACTTGGCCTGCGACGAAGAGGGCTTGCCCTGACTCTAGTAAAGGTACCTCTCTTGCTCACTAGTGTGACTAGGGGTGCTATGATATTCTTTGAGATGCTCTCTTGAAGGTGAAAACGACTCACTGTAGAAAGGACTCACTGTGGCCGCACTAGGCATCGAGCTTGATGCTGCACAGGGCCACCGATGACTTGCCACAGGAGAAAAAGACCTGAAAATTGTTGAAGCCTTGCTTGGAAGCATCCAAAGCAATGAAAAGACTGGCATTGGAGCAACATCTATTCTGAAAAAGGCATGTGCATTTCAACCAGTTCAATCCTCAGAAGTATAATTCAGGAGGGACGCGTGGGCCGCAGTGTGGCACGAAGCAACCCGACCACGAAGGTGCTTGGGGCTGTGAAGGTGATATCGACACTTCGATTTGGAAATCGATGTATAAGTCAACAGCACGAGCGAAGAACGATTTTGACAGTGTGGGCTTCAGTGCATCGTTTGGCACAAGCTTTGTCAGCGTGTCCCTGAGTAGCCTCCTGGCGCTGTCCGGGCCTATCATGAAGGGTTGTTGTCCTGTGTTGGGATGGGAAGTGCGGTCACTTCGAACCCTACCTCAGCAAAGTCAAGAAGCCAAGCCAACAGCAGATCCAAAAGATGCCGCGCAGCGTGCTGCGAGTTGTGCTCGTGCCAGGATCGGCGCACAGCTGTGTCGCCCTTTCGATCTCTGCCTGAATTGCATCCGCATGAGGCGGGTTTCAGGGATTCGGGATGCATGTCCTTTTCCCTGAACCAACGCTGTTTGAAGCAAAACGGCATTCAATTTCTTCTGTGACATCGCTGTTTTGGGGAGGTGGAACTTCGAGTCGCTGTCAAGGCAGGGCAGCTGAACTATTGTGTCCGATGGCACTGCTTCCAGCTCTAATTGAGGTTTGTGCGACTGATCATATTGTGCAAGAACGAACACAGCTTCCGGAGGATCTTTCCAGAGACGTGGCTCCTGAAAAGTTCAGATCAAAAGCCAAAAGCGTGGGAGGTTTTGTCTTCGGGCTGAGAGCTTAATTGTTTGGACGCGTTTTCTCGCAAGCTTCCTGAAGTCCTTGGGCTTCTATTGGTTTGATCAATTTTGTTTGAGGCTGTTGGTCTTTCCACAAGGGACCAAAAGCGCTCCGGAGCATGCCAGAAAGAATCGGCCAGGAGAGCTTTGCGCTGTTGCTCTTCCTTTGCAGATAGCACCATATACATATGTGCACACACATATGTATGTATATATATATATATACTTATACTGAACAATTCGTGTGTATATATGTACATATATAAATGGAGTGAAAGAATCAGTTTGCTGATTCGGAAGCAACACTGATGCATTGTATGCCTGGTATGCTTTGTGAGGAAAGAAAGATGATGAAAAGGATAAAGACAAGGATAAAGACAAGGATAAAGACAAGAAAGACGACAAAGACGATGAGAAATCCAAGGTGAATCGAACCAAAAAGGCCCTGGGCTGGGCAAGTGCAAAGCAATTCCGACCTTTGCTACTTTCATCAACTATACATATATATACAGTATATATATATATACACCCGAATGAATGCATTCAATGCCAGCCTAAGCTAACAGACATTCCCTGTCAGGAAAAAGAAAAGGTGAAGGCTGCCCTTTTGAAGGAGGTGCCAAAAGAGAAGGACACCAAAGACGCTGACAAAGATGACGCGAAGAAGGAGGGGCCCTTTCCGAGCAAAGCACCGAGCAGAGAAGCCCATCTTGCCTTCGCGACGACGGTGTTTTGTAGATTTATATAATTGGTCCAGACCACCGTTTGGGTCTGACCTCCTCTCACCTTGCACCAAGACAAATGGATGTTCTTCCTTTGCTTTAAAGCACCTACTCTGTTCTTGGACATGTAGGACCAACTCCGAATGCTGTGTCATGGTGTCATGTTGTCACATTGATTTGGAGCAACACATCGTTGGCTACAAAAGTCACAGGTGAGGGATTGAGAAACCGTATCTCAGTAACAAAGAGGAAGGACCAACCCTGGTTGCGAGTCTTAGTTCATGGAGGACCCAGCAGATCCAAGCGATGGAAACTACATTAGACTTGTTGCCGCACAACTGTCAGGACAAGAAAGACACCCGGTGGATCTCTGCCTTTGTTGAAGCACGACCTAGTGAAGACTATCCTGCACACTGGTTCTTTGAAGACGTGCAGTTCCTCGTGTCTTTGATCAACTTCCAGGACGAGCCAAACACAAACGATGACTCGCAGAAGGTTGGTCATATTGTTTTTTGTGACTCCACGCTGTTTGGAGCCAGCGTACGTACAGCCACCAAGTGAAATCGGATCGATTTCTGCAAATCTCCAGAAATCCATTGTGATCTAGATTTGGTGCCCACGCACTGATTGGCAGTGTTAGCTTGCTTCTCTGCTATGCTAGATAGGTCCCATGGAGTATTTGGGCAGCGTGGTGCATACACCGCAGACGAACATAGAATCTGAAAACAGTAGAGGAACATGCTCTTCCGGTCTATTTTCAGCTTCGTCCGTCTGTGAGGGTCGATTCCCAATACCGAGATTGGACGTGGGGACTGCGGTTTGATCCTGCGGTTTGATCCGAGATCTTTGGACACCAATGCCCCGAGATCTTCGATCTTCGCCAGAAGAAGCTGTTTGATATATGCTTCGGCCATGATGTAGACGGCTGCCGATGTGAACCCCTCGCATCGATGTATTCCCGCTCGGTAAACGACATGATTCAGAAAAAAAGGGGATGTGATGTGATGGCAGACATCCCGCTTGTAGCAGACATTGATGGCCTGACTTGCTTGACGCTTGCCTGACTTGCAGTCTTCTGACATGTCCTCTCCAAGCGACAGGACCTCAAGAAGTCCATTGTGAAGCACGATAAGCACACCTTTTCTCCTGTGGAGTCCTCCGATGGGAAGGCAACATCGCTGCGCATACTGCGTGGCGAAGCAGCGAAGCACGCAGAGAGCACGTTGGTTCGATGGTTTGACACCTGGGCGGACTTTATACATGTGTATATATATATATACATATTTACTTTTTTTTCTGCACCTCAACAATACCTACTTTCAACTGCCTGATCTAAGGCTCTGCGAAACTCTGAGCTAAGTTGTTTGGTTTGCCTAAGCCAAACTCTGGTATTGAGTTGATGGGGCACGGATTTTGGAAGCACGAATCACCAAATCTGAGATGAAGGGAATGTCAGCGGTGACTTTCAGTTCATGACACGCCTTGGTGAGTGCAGGATCATCTTCCACTCGCGCCCTCGGTTTCGAAAAAGAAAACATAGAGCACCAAATAAAAACCGCGCGCACAGAACACGGAGTCAAACCGTTCTTTTTTGCTCTTCAGGCCATTGACCGTGGCTGGCATGACTTCGTTCATTGTGACGAAAATACCTTGCGCAGCAGTGGCTTTGTGGATCCAAAGGATGACACCGTTTGCTTCCGCATCCCAGCTGCAAAGCAGTTGATCTGCTGCAAACATGCAGCGCTCGCTTTGCGCTTCGAGAGCTGCAAGACCACTGTATATTCTTGGGGATTCTTTGTTTGGGGTGTTACCTGTTACCATGATAAGCGCGGGACGTTTGTGCATTGCGAGACTAGGTGCCTCTGTTTACTTGGCGGGTGGCGCGATGAAGGTGAACTCAAAGACAAAGTCCAGGTACATGAGCTTGAGCCGCCAAGCAAAACTACGGAGCACTGGCTTTGAGACTCTTTCTATCTCTTTGTTTTTGAATCTTTTGTGGAAAGCTATTGCTGAGGCAAAATTGATCCTGGACTAAATGAGCAACTTGGTCAATCGGGGCGTGATTAACTTGAGATCATAGCCTATCTTCTGGTTTGATGGAGTGGACGTGGTTACGCCAAGGAAAGTTCCCAGCTATTTGAACAGCATTGTGCAAGTCTGGTACCACCTGGGCTTCTTCAGAAATGCTCGGCTCTCGGATCTGATTTTGGGTACTGCAACGACGACGCGCGGCTCGAAGCGTCACAGAAGAGTCCTCCAATGTGTCCAAGGCCATCTATTCGGCCTCCATTACCGGGCAACTCTCTCAACGGAAGTCCACCGTGACTGAGCTGAAAGGATGAGAATGGAGGACAGATACCGTCTAGTCCAGAGTGACCAATTCAAAGTCAAGTCCTCTTTTGCAGGGGCTACTGGCGATTTGACAGGCTGGTAGATGCTTATGCCGCCCCCACATTTTGGAACACTGGACATCTCTTCGTTCGAAGCACTGTTTTGCCTGAGACCAAGTCTATAAAATCAATTTTCCATTTGGCTAGAAACATCCTCCGTCACTGTAAATATGCAGCAAAGATCGACTATATTCGTTGAGATCAGCTTGATAGGCCCTTTGAGCGGCAGCGGCTTTTTACTTTTAGAGACACCATCCTTTTCAAAACGACATACACTGCAACTCACAATCCTTGGGTCCCACATGCTCCCAGAGCACGGCTTTTCACAAAATAGTAGTAACAATAAGCTACTAGGAACAAGTGCATCGCTTCTAGTAACAAGTGCCTTACTAGTAGTAACAAGAAGCTACTACTATTAACTTATTTGGTGCTTCCACAGCGCTCAGGTGCTTCCAGCCTTGCGGGAGATTTTCGTCCGGCTCCAGGCGCCGCGCGGACGGCGATTTTTCGCCGAGCCGGTCGGTTTGGTCCGAAGAGGTCGGAAAGAAGGTAGCAAGGTCAGAGGAAGCTGAAAACGTCAGGGCCTTTTGCCTTTGTTTTTTGTCATGTGTGATTTGGGCGAAAGGATTATATACTGTAACCGCATGTTAAAGGACTTTAGTCTTTTGTGAGTCATTGTAACATCGAAAATTTAAAATTCCCCATCCTTTCAATGAAACAGTCGGCACCATCATCCCCGATTCTATTGCCCGGCCTGCATTCGCCTGCTGCGCAGCACCGCACGCTGCCTGCCTCGTGCTCGCCTCTTTGCAGCGCTTTTGGAAGGAAGGGCTGGTCGAAGATGTGCAAGGCACAACTTGGCTCCGGGAGAGTTTGTTTGTTTGTTTGTTTGTTTGTTGTTTTAGACAAGAAGACGTGGACACATGATTGGCACTTTAGGCAACCAGTCGCACAGAGCATGGATACTTCATGGATACTTGAGAACAGTTCCTGTTGTGGTTCTTGATGCATTCGGGCGAGCATGTCAGGGTCAAACATGAACATTTCCCATTTTGCAAGTTTATGATTTGTTTTCATTTCCCTCAAACTTGTGGCAGGCAGATCCAGATTCCTTTTGCACGGAGATCTTCCAGAGTCTTGGGGCGGAATTCATCCCTTCGGCTGACGTGCTCAAGGACTGCACGGAGACGTCACGGAGACACCAGATTCTGAGAATTCGTGAAGTCAAACTGGAACATACATGAATTGGGTTTGTCCTCAGTCAACAAGGCCTTTACTAACCATCATCATCCACTGTTACAGGTATTAGGATAGACCCAATATATGAACATATATGAACTTTGAACTCATGGACCAAGACATTGGTGGCCCACCAACACTGATTCTCGGTGTTTTCAGATGTTTCATCGATTCACCAAGCCGTTCTGGTTCTTCTAGGTGCCGCACGTTTCAGCTGTGAGTCTAGCGTGAAGTGTGCAATGATGGATTGGTAGCTCCTTCCTGCTGATACCTTTAGAACACACTGGTTTCTTTTACAGTATATTTTTTGAACAAGGCTCCTGGAAGCCAGGACTTTTTTCCATCTGAGTATGTAGAAGAAATCATTGAGGTGAAATATGTACAGAAATCAAATCTATTCAAAACTTCAAAACACTTAAAAGGAGGCCTTGCTCGTGCTGTCAACACGATGATGTTTCACAATGACAGCACCTTCACTCAACATTTTCAGGCAGAGGAGGCCGCAGTGAAGGCTGCAGCAAAGGCCAAAGGCAAAGCAGCCAAGGTGGGGGGACAACCAAAAGAGCAAAGGATACAGATGCAGCTAATTATATGACATTTCCTAACCGTCTGAAGATTCCCGGTTGGACGGGTGTAGCTGCGCAGCCATCAAATCACAAGGCAAGCCAGGCAAGTAAGGCAAGTAGAGCTTGGTGTTTGGACTTTGCATCTCCCGTGTTCAGCTGCGAGGCCATTCCTCGTGTGGAAGTGCCACAGGAGAACAGAGCCTTGTGGGAGTCCATTCAGGAGATGTTTGAATTTGAGGCCTTGCAGTCAATTTGAGACCAAGCATGCTGGCAGAAATTCAAACACTTAGCAACCAAGCATGGTCCTTTGCTAGATGTTTGCCAGGGCATGCAGAATTTTGCTTGAACCTTTGATGGGCCGGCAGGTCGAGTGGATTGCCCAGGCCGTTGATGGGGGTGATTTCTCTGATAGCTCCGTCTATCAAGGCCCCTGCTTCACTCTGGTGGCGACCTCAGTTTTGTGGAGATTTTGGTCGAAAGCGCTTGAAAGTGCTCGCTCAAGCGAGCGCAAAAAAAGGTCTCAAAAAACCCGACAGCACAAGCTGTACATGGATTTTTGGGCTGGACAAGCACACGCCGACAGCTCAGCGATGTCCAGCTCAGCTGAGGTGGTGAGAGGCTTTGCTCGCTTGGAGGACACTTTGGATCACTACTTCTCCCCGAAGGTGATTGAAGATGGCGGGCTTCGTGTTCGCACGATGCGGAAGTTTCGGCGAATGAACCTTGGCAGAGGATTGGGGTGAGACAGCGACAGTGGGAGGCAACCAAGATCCTCATCTTACTACGCATAGAACACATTGAATGGGTTGTCCGGATGAGGGGAAATCAGTTGGCAAGTGGAAAGAAGGGAATGCAAAGAAGGGGTCAAGAAAGGGGCCTTCAGTTCCTGCATTCCATCTGGACATGGACATAGGAACACCAATATTGAACATATTCAGCATACACCTAGAGTCCGACATAGCTGCTTTCTGGCTGGGATCGCTTGGGACTGCAGTTGTGGTCTTTTTAAGGAGCTAAATTTGGCAATCTCGTTCAACCCAAGAGCAATGGCCTCCAACCTAAGAGCAATCTCGTTCACACATTCATGAGCCCTGAACTCTAAGGCCTACGGTGCTCCAGTGGTATTTGAAGCGGGGTGACTACGACTGCTGCACAGGGCTTTCGGGTGTCACAGACACCTACCTGAGTTTCCCGCGGCAGATTGACATGGGCAAGCGACTGGGACCGAGCAAGTCGAGTAGTTTTTTACTGAGATTTCGTGCGGCACATGAACGACTTCGTGGAACGCACATCCAGAGCCAAACAGAGCCATGCAAAGCCACCACGAAGCAATGCGGCTGTGACCGAGGTACTCCGAAGGGGCGGGTCTCTACCATCTCTATTCCATCATGGTCGAGTGTGACGATCACTTTCTCTCCTACATTCGACCGGAGATGGAAGGTGCGTGATTCTTACTATTACTATCTATCTATCTATCTATTACTATTATTGGTTCTTCCAAAGCTGAAAAGCCAAAGTGCATGCGACCCTTAAGCACATGCGCAGACAGCTGCTGCACATTTCGCGTTTCGTGAAATGTCTGAGTCACTACCCACTACCTTTTTGCAATGTATGTTGTGAACTTAAAATGACATCATTTTTCCAGGTGACCGGGGCCAATGGTATCGCTTTGATGAGAGAGACAGCTCCTGTGCTGTCTCTAACGCCACGGCTGTGGACTCCTCCTTCGGGGGTGAGGAGAGTGGGGGAAGGTTGGAAGAGCTTGAAAACGAGGCTTTTTGAGCCGACACAAGCATTTGTACCGTGCATTCTTCTCTTTTTTTGACCTTTAAACTTTAGACGTACTGTACAATGTATATTTATATATCTTTGTTCATTCCTGATTTCTTTCTTCCTTTCCGTACCAATAGACACATGCCTTGCTGTCAAGCGCCGTGTTCCAGGAATGGCTGTGTGTGAACTACTTGTACGGGCCTTCTGCTGTGCTAAAGCGGCCAAGGGAGTCCCGCGCCTGTATGCTCATCTATCTCAAGGACTGCCCCAATGAGTCTGCATCGGTTCAAGTCCTTCGCACGATGCCAAAAGGACCAGACAAGCCACCCGAGCCATCCAGTCGATTCGTGTTTCCAGCCGACAGGACGAGGCCCTGAGCACCTTGCTCCGCGAACCTCGGCTGCCGAAGCTTTGCCCGGAGTTGCACGTGCCCCTGCAGCGGGATATGCCACAGGCATGCTAAGAAAGCAAATCGAAGTCGCCGCTTGCAGAAACAAAACAACATGCAGAGTGCATACTCCGAATATCTTATAACTAATATTGCTCGATTGCTTGCTTCATGTAGCGCTCTGTCACCAAGTTTTACCAGGGTAGGAAGGCCTGTCGTTTTACGAAAAAAGCTGATCAGCAGCGCCCCCCCAAAAGCAGTCCACTTCTCCCAGGCATTTTTTACATGCTTCTAGGTTGGAGGCCATTGCTAGTACTTATATAATGTTAGTTATATAGCAATACCTAGCAGTAGATACTGTAAAAAAAAGATATATCGTTACATCTCCAGTCCACTTCTTCCAGGCGGGCTCTGTGGAGTTGGAGGCAGCCAATCGTGCAGAAGCCGAGCTCCTGGAGGACCTCGACGCGGAACTGATGGCGGAGGCGACCGCGTTCGGTACCTGTAGACCCAGGTTTTGGTAGCGACCAAGATGTAGCGTCCGACCAAGAGCAATTCTACAAGCCATAATTAAGACATTGGATCAATATTAACCCCCTTTCCAAAAGTGGGTTTTACATCTCCATATGGAGGTTTTATTGATCAACAGTCTACGTTACAGCCCACTATAGATCCCAAGAGTGTAGTGTTGCAGGCGCCTACAAAGCCTTCGAAAGCAAACAACAATAAGAAGTAAGGTTAAAATATCGTGAGGTCATGTTTGGTGGGTGGAGGAAGATGTTTTGGTAAATGGTCCTGAATGGTCCTGCTTGTTAATTTGTTTGTCGGGCCTGTTGGTGTAGTCAACACATGAGGTAAGAGATAGCCATTGTTTCACCTCTACCAGTTGAGAACCACTATATATTCGAGCCTGCTGACGATACATGTGTTGAAGGATTCTCCTTTTTGCAGGTGCGAAAGAAAAAGGCAAAGCAAAAGAAGAAGCAGAAGGAGAAAGAGCGGAAGAACCAGGTTCGGGCGGCGCGATCCGTTTTCAGGCAGCCTGCTTTGTGTCTTGAACCATAGCGTACTGGCTAGCAAGAAGCTGAGCTTCTGTGATCTGAGAAATGCCAAAAGCAGAGCTGGAACGGAAGGACCAGGGTGACCGCGGATCGGGCATTGCAACACATGCACCGGCCTTTGCCCAGTGAAATTGGGATGGGTTGGATGGCGCTGGCTTGGATTTCGCCTTCCATTCCTTACCTGCTTTCCCCCTCCTCCCTACCTCGTTTCTCCTTGGAGCACCAAGAGGCCGCTTTCGAGACCGGTGAGAAACGGTGAATTTGCCTTTTGAAGTACACCAAGTGATATGCATTTGACTGAATCAGGAGACTGCAGTACCGGCATGTTCTGGCTGCAATTCGATGTGCAGTCTAACGCTTCGGCCGCAGAACCGGTTCGGCGAGCAGGCGAAGGCTGAAGAGCCTGAGAATGCAAACGATGGCAAGGACGAACCAGAGGAGAGTGAGGAGGAGGAAGAGGAGGACTGAGGGGGAAAGACGTGACTTATTCTTGTCGACTTCCTGCGGCCGCTAGCTTGTGGTGATTTGCCTGCTTAGGAGCCTCCAAAGCAAGACAAACTTGAGGCCAGAGCGAGGGAATGCTGGTCACAACCTGGGCCACACCCAAATAGATTTCCACAATCCATGGCTTTTGGATGTTTGGTGTACCTCATTTTGATCCAATGACTGCAGGTCCAGCAAAATTTGCAGTTGAACGGAGTTGGGGAACAGTATGGAACAATTCTTTTTTCTTTGTGCCGCCAATGTCAATGAATTGGGTCTGAGGGTGTCCAGGGTAGAGCACAGCGCTGATGAGCGTGGGGAGGCACCAGCCACTGTCCAGCAAGAATCCGATGAAGAAGGACGGAGAAGCTTTCTTCCATGGCCTGGATTTGATGCGTCCAGGGTTTGATGAGCTTGACCATCGACCCTGCTTCTTCGTGTTTTTGACCAGTATGTTTGAGTCTGACATCAATCAGCTTGTGTTTTCATGTAATTGCATGTTTTTGCCAACATTCCCATCCGCAATGAAGCTCTATACATCTCTATACTATATTATATATTACAACAAATGCAATGAAGCTCTTGTATTCCTTGGTCGCTCTGCCAGGATTTCAGGAGAGCTTTGGTGCTGCTCGCGGAAAGAAAGCTCGAGGTGGCGCCAAAGCGAAAGCAGGCAAACCATCCATCAACGTTGCATCGAAAACGAAAGGAACCTAATTGCAATGGCCTCCAACCTACTAGCGATGGCCTCCAACCTACTAGCGAACATCCAGCTCAGTCATTTGACGGTTTGCAAGAGGCCAATCATTTTCAGGATCGTCCCTTGTACTATAATTTTGGCAGGGCGTTGGGGTTCCAAGAACCGCCAAAGATGAAACACACTTGCTCAAAATGCAGGTCCACCTGCGGAAATGAACAAGAGCAGCAAGAAAAAAGAGACTAGTCTTTTGGCTGGCAACTCTGGGATATTAAGGTTGGAAGTGTCAGATTTACCTTGACAAGAATTGATGGCAACTGAGCCAATGCATTGTTTGCGTTGGTGTGTTTGATTGTTCCCAAGCGACATCATGAATGGATGTGAAACGACTTGTGCAAATAGCAGACGCTAGATTCATGCCACATGCAAGGGGCATTCAAGCAAACTCGCGGGACTACCAAAGGGCTTCTTTTGGGACCCTGCGAATTTCCATAATTGTTGGCACGTGTGCAGAGTTGGCAGGGTAGAAACATGCAAAGACGCGCACACACACACACAGACACACGCCGGAGGGTTTGCCAGTGAATACCGGAATCATGAACGAAGGCAAGGGCAATCCCAATTCAAACAAGTAGCGCAGGTACGTCCAAAACGAGGCGTCCATTTGTGTCCATTTAGGAAATCGCAATGGAACAGCCATTGTCGAAAGGTTGAAACCACAGCGCCAGTGGAAAACGTCGCCACAATTCCTTCAGCAAGACCTGCGACCCTGAGCCTGGGAAATTTGGGCTGTGAGTCACAACCCCCCTCACCAAACCATGATATATTGACACCCCTTTTGTGGCGGAATCTGTTCATTTGACCTGGGGCTTGGCCCATAGACCCCCGGGTGCCATGACCCACAGGCAAAATCACAGATGCGTCTCGGAGAACCCAGACGCATCTCCACAGACACTCTCGGCCACACGTCGGAGATGTATATGCACACAATTAGGCACACCCTGAAAAAAGGCATCTGAGGATGTACTAGTACAAGTGCTCACAAGCAAAAAGAACGAAGGTACTTCCCCCAATGACTGAAGCCCTCCCTGCCTAGGCAATGCATATCCTGTGCAAGTGGCTCCAGTGCTGGCTCCTGCACCTGCAAAAGTGAAGCAAAGTCGAGAGGAGATAAGCTTTGCAGCACCCAAGCTGCAGGCTGGAGTGCATGGGCAAGCTTCTTCTTTTTGTTCAGGTCATTTTTGCAAAATAAGACCATGACAATACCTTGAGCAAATCCGGCACGCTTCCGTTTATGCCAGGAGCCTGAGAGGGAGGATACCAAATCGGCCAGCGAAGGCCTGGAATATCGTGTGATGGTTGAGTGATGTGCTCGACGTTTGTGACAAACATGGCAGGCCGTCGTTCTCCACGGAGCAGTGATGCAGGAAGCACTGCTGGAAGCGTTGCGAAGGGAGTGGCTCGGTGTTAAATGGTTTGGGTATCAAGCAGTGGAGTCAGACCATAAAGAAAGACTTTCTGTCCTGTGTCGTGTAATTACCATCATGTACCATCCATGAACACACCATGCTCTTGTTGCCCGAGACACATTAAAAGAAAGACAGACAGATCTGGCAAAGGCGGGGCGCGCAGAGCCGAAGGCCTTTCAATCCCAGCCAATGCAGGCGGGCAAAAGCTCTGGAGCCTACAAGAGGTAGTAAGAGATAATAAGAGCAACAAGAACCTACTAACAATGGCCGCCAACCTACTAGCGATGGCCTCCAATGGCAAAAGCTCTGGGTATGTGATACCGGTTATGTGTGGGTTTCTACATGTCACGGGCGGGTGCCATGAGGCAACAGGCCCTCTGGGACCAGGACATGCAGCCAGTCAACAATTCATGTTGGTGGTCGAGTAGGCATATTTATATAAATAATCAATGTTCAAATCTTTCTACAAGCAGCTCTTTCGCCGTCTTGCCACGAGAACGATTGGTCACATGAATGGTTTTTAGTGACTGTTCGAGTCCCACGCTCGAAACCGTCCGAGCAAACCGGTTCCAGTCCCTTCAAAACAAACACTCCAGTTACTCCAGTTTCCATTCACTGGCCCGGCACTGGCCCTGTTCCTATCCCAATTGGTTGAGGCTAAGGCCTCCACCGCGGCTTCGCAGCCCAGCGAGGGCACGCCCAAAGCGGTGGCGAATGGCCCCAGGTCGGGCTTCTTTTCCTTCTCCTTCTTCTTCATAGTTTTTCTATTCCAACAAACAGGCCTATTGGAGCCGTTGTGTATATATACACAGTTTTCAGAAACTTTCAACAGACAAGACTTGATTATGCTTCGATCCACCTGAGAGGACAAATCTTAGACCTTTGCACCTTTTGAGCAGATAGATAATAGATAGTTGACATTTTTCATTTTTCCATGCCACGGTTATCGCCAAGACAGCTGCTGCAACCAGGGGTCCATGTTTCAAAGAAGGAGAATGTTGAAGTTGGGATTGTAAACGGGACTTGAGCAGGCTTAATGGCAATGCCCCGCCACCGCGAGTGAATGGAGCGGTGCCAGCTCCCTCTCAAGCAAAGCACAGAGCCTCAGAAAGTGTCCACGCAACAACCAGAACATGCCGAACTACAAGCACTAAGTGATCATGAAGTCCTTCGTACAAAGCATCTCTAGTTCCTTCATTGATAGCGAGTGCGACGGATGAAGCCTTTTGCCTTCACTCTGCACATAGGCAAAACGGGCGGCTTTTGGTGCCATTGTCCAAGGCCTGTGAAGCAAAGCGAGCCGCAAAAAGCGCCACAAGCCCCACAACCAGGCGAAAAGCCGTGTGAGCAGCTTTTCCTGTAAGTGTTTTTTCCGAGACTGTGCAGCAGCGCTTCCTATTTGCCTGCTTCCTGCAGCTGCACAAGCTTTCTTCAACCAGGCTCTGGCCCCGGGGCAACTTCCTCTGCCCGGGCTGCCACCGGGTCCACAGCGAGCATGTCCTCGCTGGCCACGTCGGATATGGGCGGAGAAGGCGCTTTTCTCAGCGCAGTAGGGCGCGCGAGGAGTGATGCGGAGACTTGAGAAGTTAATTTTGGTCCGTGGAGATCTCAAAAGTCGACAACGAAAGTACTAAACTGCGAACATCTACGTTTTGGAGAATTTCCAAAGATACGGACACAATATGGAACGCAGTTGAAAGTTTTCAGAAGGCCACATGCTTTTTTGTTCATTTTCGAAGGAGCAACTTGTTTTCATTCGTCCAGAATATACATCGTTTGTCAGACACAGTCTGATGGCAACATATATGGCAACTCTTTTGAGCGCTTCAAGTCGGGTCAGGTGAGGTGCGACATCACCCTTCGTCGTCCTCGCGTGCATGGCCGACTGATGATGGTGTGAAGGTCTATCCTGACTCCTGGCGGCTCTGTTCATGGTCTTTGCTCTTTCAGATGAAGAAGTATAACACTGATTTGATCACGTTCTTGATGCATTTGTATATGATTTGTACGTGATTTGTACAAATTTGTGCTTCGGATGATGGATAACACAGATCACTCATTGTGAAGCTCATGGTGCCCAAGGAGCAACTCATCACGCCGACAGAGGGCACGCTCGACGAGTATGCGCAGTGCCTCTACTGCTAGACTTTCTGGCAGTTATTCTTGCGTCCTCCGAAAGAGTTCTCTTCAAAGAAGTTCCGGAACTTGAGTCTCAGCCGTCCACCATTGTTACGGCCACTAGCCTCACTAGCCTCACAAGCCTCACTGGCCTCACTGGCCTCACTAGCCCCAGTTCGTTCAGTCCCATGTCAACGGAGCCCAGGTTTGTGTGCGCGCTCTGCAAGCTGGTTTCGAGGCACCCGGTGGTGCGGAGCCTCAATGTCTCGAACGTCGATGATCAAGTTGCAGTCATCCGATCGTTTTTGGGCGCCTTTCGCCGGCGCAATGAGGAACCAACAGATGTTTTCTTGCAATGATCTTGCATGTTTGATTTTGGGACGAGAATACAGTTCCAACATCTTTCTTGGACATCTAAGATGATGCGCTCATGCACCCACATCTTCTGTGGGTGCTGCTTCGGAGACTGGGTTGACAAGACCAAGCCAAATGTCGTTTGCGGTGGCCTCAGTAAGCGGCCTGCAGACTGGAGGTGCCAATTCATCAGTTTCCAGCATTGCAACTCTTGTCAACTTCTTTCTTTCTTTCTTTCTTTCTCAGATACAACTAAATTCAAGAACTTCGAGAATTGACTTCTCAGCTTCATCTTAGGTTTGTTCAGGCTTAGGTTCAGCTGCTTGACCTCCAAGATAGTTTATTGCATTTGAGCATCCGGCAGCACTGCTGAGGTCCGACATGCCAGCAGGCAGTGAGACAAACAGATGTGGTGCGGCTAGAGTCGGCAACAGGACCAGCCTTATCCTTATTGCATCGGCTCTACAGCGGAATGAAGGCAGCTCGCATGTAGCTTTTCAAAGCAGGATCAGCAAGCCTTCTGAAGCAAACATAATCCGGAAGGGCCTGGCCGGCTTGGCAGGTTCGCTGCGTGTATCACGCGGAGCAGAGGAATGAGGTGAACCCGGAGGTGGCCAAAGCCAGGGCGAGTAAGCTGAGCTGTCCGTCCATACCTCATGGCAGTTCTTGAGAGCCGCTGCTTTTGGTTAATGCAACCCTGCAATGGTATACTCAGTTGCACAGTTAGACATGGGCAATGTAGTAGAATGAAGTGGATGGTAAATGCAAAAAAACATGTTGCTTGGCTTGTGACTGTCAGGTTTGAGGCGGAATCTGTAAGGTTATCGACCTGGCCATTTGGTCATGTTGATGACCCTGGTTTTTTCTGGTGTACTTCAGATGGACTTGTCTCCTGACGTGCACCAAGGTGGAGCGGAGCTTTGCTGGATTTCACCGTACACCTTGGCAATTGCCAGGCCTCAAGAGTCCGCCAAACACGCATGTGAGATCTGAAATATAGCACTGGGATGAAAGAAAACCGCTCTGCTTTTGCACGCTCAGTTCATATGTTAAATAAGAGTCTAGAGTTTCAGTCACGGCGAGAATGAGCCACAGTGACCTGGGTGTGGATCAAGATGAGTCTCAGGTGTGTTGAGTGCTCATCTTGATGCTGATCATTTCCTGTTTCCAATTTTCTGATTTGTTGAGTGGCCGCCTGCGACCGCCAGGTGCATGCGGCGGTCAGCAGCGAAAGAAGCTCCCGTACCAGCAGAGGTCCCGTACCAAGCTGGGATGCCAATGAAAGACACCATCACACTGGTCAAGGAGTCATGGGTCTCTTAGACTCTGTCCTTGAGCCTGATGCCAGACTTAAAATGCTGTGGCAAATTGAAGCAAAAGAACATGGTTTCACTTGCTGCTTGGATTTGGTCAGCCCGACGATTCTTGATGCTTTTTACTTTGACTGGGCGGTGGTGGGCACAAAGCCTGTATGCCTCCCTGCATTGGGGAGCTGTTCAAGGCTCAGTTGGGGAAGTGCCACTGGTGGGGATTGGGGTGTCCTGCTCATTGTGGAGCTTCTCTCCCATTTTTGCTTCCATTTTGTTGGTCTTTTCTCCTTTGGCATCACCTCTGTGCTCTTGGCATCACTTTTTGCACCGAGAGCAAGTTCCCTCCAGTTGCACGCCTCGAGCGCAACCACCGTCGCTCGTGCTCTTCGAGGCCGCAGGCTGCATCCTTGGAGCAGGCTGCTGACAGGGCTAAGGCCACTCCTTCTTTGGGAGCTCCTTCAGGCACTTCGGTCATTTTCTCTGATACCGGGATAGGGTGGATTGGGATGTGATCACTCAGCTTGACTCTCTTGCTGGTCAACCCACACGTGCTCTTGCTGGGCCTTCTTTGCCCAATTAGCATGTGGCTGAGGTCGCCAACACTCTTCCGGCTTTCCGCGGATCAGTGCTAGGATTTGTGAATTTTGTGAGCAGGTGTGGGCAAGAGCTGCTGGAGTCTGAAACGCAAGTCCTTACCAAAAGCGAAGGCCATCTCCTAAGCTTTCTCTCCAGGCAGCCATCCACAGGCCTGTTCGCATATCATCTGAGTGCTGAGGGAAGAGTCTACTGCCTCGCAGCTGGATTTCACTTTCCCGAGCCGGAGTTTTTGACTGGTGTGTACCTGACCATATCCTCACATCGGGAATGACCCAACATTGGAGGATCTTCGTTCGGCCCTGCGACGACTGTGACAGGAGACGGATGGAACCGAAGTGCCCAGTCTTGGCAGCAAGTACATTGCCAAAGCCAGCGCCGGCCGCTCATCATGCCCCAGCAGGGCCTCTCGTTTCGGCGTCACCTCGCCTCCGAAGCCCGGAGAGGGTGAAAACCGCACGGGCGGAACAAGTAGCAGACCTGCAAAGGATCTCCCTGCTATCTCCTCCGTTTGGACTCCATGGCAGGAAGAGATAGACCCATCGGCGGCCCTGCGACTCATCACACCAGGGTCATTGTTTGTGCGCCACTTTTGGCCATGCTGGCCGTGTGCACCTTCTGACCGGCATGGAGAAACAAAGGCATGGAGAAGTGATAATGTTATGTTGTATGCGTATCTAAATATACAACCCAATATGACGATGCGCCTAAGGCGCCCAATCAGTGGCAGCGGCCCCTGCTGCGCCTCAGCAAATGACTGGTTTGTTCCTGGTCACTTCCAGTTACCAGGAGCAGGCAGGTGATGGTTTTTGCATGTTTTTGCGTTCGTTTTTCCTTCACATAGATTATAGATTCAGGTATTTTTCACCAGATGAAGGTTTCATGCCACACTTTGATATTGTTTGATTCTTGAGCGTCTTAAGGTGTCTGAACTAATTCTCTCTGGTTTGGACTATTTCTGGACGAGAAGGCGCATGAAACCAAGGGCCCGCATTGTCAGGACCGCCCCGCTGGCACCCTTGCAGTTGCTGCCTGAGAAGCCGAATACATGTGGATGTGAGATACGGAATACGAAGATCCAGTTTTTGTGGGATGTTCTTATGAGAAACTGGCTGCCGTGATCATCTCAGAACCTCTCTGACCCCGGTTCCACGGTTCCACGGGTGTTTCGAGGTGCAACGTGGAAGCTGTGTCTTTGTGACACAATTGGATGAGGAGACGTCCCAGTGGGCCCTGGGCCAAATCTACCAGGACTGAGTGTCACAGTTTGGAAGAGCAAGAGATGTGTGTGTGTGTGTGTTTGTTTGTTTCTTTTTAAACAAAGGAACACAGAAACAAATTTTTGCGCCCGTGTTGAAAGCAATTCCGTTAACTTGGACTGTACACCAGCACAAGAGATTTGGACCCCGGAGTTCGTCGGAGTTGCCTGGAATTTGGCACAGCTCTTGTGGATGTTTTTATCTCACACATGACATACACATTTGTTTCCTTGACACGTAAATTACTGGCGGGCAGCTTACTCCCAACAGACCCCTACACTGGTGGTGCTGAATAGGATCCGGACAGTTTAAGTCTTGTCCTCATGATGCAAACATCCAGGTACTGTATATGGTACATCGCCTTGGGCCTGGGGAACCATGCTAGACAGTTTTCTTCAACGTCTCCAATTCGAGACGTATCCCTAGCCCCTCTCGCGGCTCATGCTCTTGGTTTGACATTCATTGTGTTCTCACTTCACATCCTCAGGACTTTACTCCAGTGTCTCCTCAGGGTTGGGTGCCGCGAATGATGCTGACCCCAGCGCTTTTCCGTGCGTGGGGAGGCTCAGTCGTTGTTTCGACCCGTCCGCGGAAAACCGATGACGGACCGACACGGACCTGTCCGACGGACTGACGGACCCGCCCTCGAGCACTTGAGAAGACCATCCCAGGCACAGTGCCTTTGACGCTACGTCCCAACAGGTTCAAAGCTCAGGAGTTGACGCAAGATGTGGAATGGGAACATTTACTTGCTGCTTTTCATCAAACTTGTTTCAACATTTCACAATTTGATTGACACTTGATGCAATTTGATTGACATTTGATGAAATCTGGTTGACTGCAGTTAGGGTCTAAGGTTTTAATATGGGGTTTTGAACGCCTCTCCAATGCCTCTCCAATGTTCCTCAAACACAAGAGACCCAGGATGCGAAATGAGTAGCAATATGCATCCCAAAGCCATCAAAACTGCTGTATATACAAAAACATAAATATATCAGAGACATATATCACATAAAGCAACTGCACCAGGCTGTTGAAGGCTGTGACAGATGGGTGAAGCTCCCACTCTACAGACACCGACTTTGATATAGGTCAAGGATTTCTACTAGTAGTGGCAAGTTCATGACACTAAGCCTTGTTGAGTTGAATGATCCCACGAGCCGTTCGACGGATCTAGGAGCCGTTCTTAGGCGCAAAGCTCGCAGTTGCAGCTGCACGTGGGAGATGTTGTAACAGTGCAGAGTTTGCACAACGGCTGGACCTATGGAACAAAGACTGCTGGGCACGAGGGCTCAGATGGAAGGGAACTGCTGGGTCAAGGGAGTTGGATCAAGGGAGTTGGATAAGTCTTTCCGTTTGCATCGGGGCTTTGAGCCTTCGGTACTTCCGCCTTTTGAGGACAGCTCACGGCGGCCAAGCGGAGTCTGGATGGTATCCACAGGCCGTCTGGGTGGTCTCCGCACGAAGTTCGCACGGTCTCCGGCGGCCCGGTCTTTTGATGAGTGAAGCAGCAACACAGCCTTTGCTTCCATCCCCCTTGGGAAGCACCTTTGCTGCTAACAAGTGAAGCCCTTGTCTCCAAAAAATGTACCGTGTGCAGGCATGCATTTCCGAGCAGCCCCTTCCGCTGCTGAGTTGAAAGACTCCCGCTGCAACGAGCGAGCGAAAGCAATTGCTAGGCTTCAGCAAAGCAGGTGGCCAGAAGCAAAAGGGGCTAGGCTAATTCGAAGTTTAAACATAGACCGTGGGACAGTTTGCCAAAGCAATTGCATGCGTTGCCTGCTGAGGGGTGTTCTACGGTGGCGGGTTTGCAAAAGAGAGCTGGGGAGGACACCTCCAACATTGGTTGTGATATAGTGACATTGGTTTGGAGAAAACAGCTGCTCAGCAGATGTTATTCTATTCTTCGTTGAACCTGACCTCCAACGACCTTTTGCAACGACGAGCATTGCCTGCCTACCTGAAGATTGGTCTCAAACAAGGAGCCAAGCGATCTTTTGCTCCTACAATCATGTTCTCAATTCAGAACCTCTTGAGTGTATTTGTACTGACCAGCTGCAGACAGTTTTCAGAAGCGAACATGAAGATAGGCAGAGCCTTCGTGCAGAAAAACCGCCGCAAGTTTAGGCGACCGATCAAATGACCGCCACACATGAGCCGAGAAGCGACCGCCGAGCGTCGGCTGTCGCGACACTTTGAACATCCGAGTGGAAAAATCCGAGCGCGCGGAGTGCTGCTGTGCTCTACTCATTTCTTCATGGTGGCCCACGGAGCGTTTTGCAGCGTTCGTCGTATTTTTTTGGATCATTTTGCACACCAGTGCTTCTTTTGCAAAGATGGCAGAAGACTGGGAAAGCCACCAGTCTCAGCACATGGCTTTTTTGAGGGTCGATCCTTTTTTGCACTCGTTTCTTTCACAGCACAGCGAAAAGAGTTTCAACAAGACCGGAGCTTTTTCAGTCGTTGGATGGCCAGGATGCGCATGAAGCGACTCAACCAGGTGCTAAGCCAGTGGAATCGGATCGACAGCCTTGTGTCGCTCTTGGTGTCTTGAAAGTTTCGAATTCATTGGAAGAGGTCAGAAACAATGTAACAATTCATGGGAGTCCGTTGAAGCAGTTTCTTGCCAAAAGCCGTGTCGTCCGTTCAGAACAACCGCTGCCTCAAGGTGGATCAAATCTATCAATTCATATCAATTCTACTCTCCTTCGTCGTGTGTTTAGTGTTTGATGCGACAGGCGTAAGACCCCTTACACTCGCTTCTTTGTCCAATCAACACCTCCAAAAACCTGACAACCAGTTTGGAAATGTTTGGAATGGATATCTGGATTTTGCATCGTCGAGAGTCCTTGTGGCCGCTCTTTTCCTCTGCGAGCCATGATTTGGCTGGCCAAGCTCGTTGCTGGACTGACATGATAAAGATGTGGAACGATTGCAACGATGTGCATTGGGAATTGGTGTTTGGGAACGTCCAAGATTGGACTTGGCCACTTGCACCCGCTTCAAGAAACACTTAGGCAAATCTTCTCAAATGTAACATTCTCGAGGCTTTAGGTTCCGGAATGCTTTTGAAGTCATTGGGGCAGCAAGGCTGAGTATAGCTAGAGCACCCAAGTTTGGCATTGCCTTCCCTCCTCCGGAACTGAAGTTCAAGTCGTTTTTCTGGCCTATCAAGATGTCACATTCAACTGATAGGACACTCACTTGCGGCAAGGCATCCAAATGAACTCTTTGATTTGTAAGAATAGCTTCTTGTTCCTAGTGCGATGGTCTCTAACCTACTTGCTTCTGGCCTCCACCGAGCGCGTCCGAGGTCTCTCGACCATTTGACCGGGTCTTGCAACTGTCCTTTCACATCCTGTGGTTGGAGCTCGATTTGCTGGTGGAGAGCTCCTTGGGCTGCAAATAAGCTGAAACCATCTGGCGTCCGTTGAGTGAAATGTTTGGGACACACGGCGTCAGCTGAAAAGCATCACAGACTAAGGATTTGCTACTTTGCTCCCTGGCTTGCCTGGATTTACGGGAAGTGTGCGCCATTATGGGAGAATGGCTGTTGAGGCACGAGGGAAAAACAAGGCGAAAAGGTGAAACAAGGCCAAAAGGAAGTAGGAGTAGCGGCTGTTGACGGCATTTACTGTGCTTGATGTTTTTAGATTTTTTCAGATGACTTATGGAACATGGTAAAAACGGTCACAGTGCTGTGCGAAGCCATTTTTGTCAGGCCTTTTTCGTGGCTGAAGCGTCAGAGCCTAAGAAATGGAAACATTTTCACAAAAGAATTCCGCTGAATCAATGCCACCTAAGGATTCAATGGCTCTCGACTGCGATGGTTCTTTTGTGCTTCTGGCTGTTCTATGCATTATGCTTACCACCTACAGCGGTTTCATACCCTTTTGCCGGCAACTGAGTCACGCAGGACGAAGAACATTTTGACAGACGATAACACTTTTCTCTTGTTCACACAGAGCAACACTATTTGGACTTGCTCCTGCCTGGGTTTTAGACTCCTCATCTAACAGCACTTCACGTAGCCTCATCGAACAGCTCGCCCGTGCCGCCATGTGACTATGTGGGAGTTGAATAGAATTCATATGACTTACGTTCCACCGAACATTGTTTTGCCATCAGAAGACAAACCTTTGAGGTCATAGACTGGAGCTCAGAAGCCCGGCCGCACTTACAACATATTGTGTCACCATGAGAATATGAGAATCTCCTCTCTGGCATTTTTCTAGGACATCTACGCCGCGTCAGCAGTGGGATTGGCTCAGCAGGCGGGGCTATTCACTCTTGACTTTTCAATGCCGAAGCTTGGCATCGACTCATACCGGTCCTTGGTGACATCGATTCAGGGTTGGAGGCCATTGCTAGTAGGTTGGAGGCCACTGCTAGTTGGTTGGAGGCCATTGCTAGTAGCTGGTTGGAGGCCACTGCTAGTTGGTTGGAGGCCATTGCTAGTAGCTG